GCATATAACAAAATACCATGCATGATGACACATGGCAACATGTACTCACACCATGTATGATGACACATGACAGAATGCACTATCACCATGCACAATGACACATGGCAACATGCACCACACCATGCATGATGACACATGATGAGAATGCACCACACCATGCACAATGACGCATGGTAACATGTACCACACCATGCATGATGATTACATATGGCAACATGCACCACACCATGTATGATGACACATACCAACATGTAACACCACAATTATGCACATAATGACACATGACATAACATGCACCACACCATGCATGATGATACGCAACCAGCATGCACTACCATGCATGATGACATGATAGCAACATGCACCACACCATGCATGATGACAGATATGCAGGATATATTAACATGCACACCATGCATGATGTCACGGCAACATGCACCACACCATGCATGATGACACTTTAGCAACATTTACCACAACATGCATGGCGTACGATGGCACATAGCAACATGTCACACCATGCATGATGACATTCTTGGCAACATGCACCACACCATGCATGATGACATATGGCAACATGCACCACACCATGCATGATGATTACGACATACCAACATGCATCACAATCATGCACAATGACACATGGCAACATGCACCACACCATGCATGATGACATTACGGCAACATGCACCACATCACGCGATGACGCGCAACATGCACCACACCATGCATGATGACACTTAGCAACATGCACCACATCATGCATGATGACACATGGCAACATGGACCACACCATGCATGATGACACATATCAACATGCACCACACCATGCACAATGACACATGGTAATATGCACCACACCATGCATGATGACACATGGCACCATGCACCACACCATGCATGATGACACTTAACAACATGCACCACACCATGCATGATGGCACATGACAACATGCACCACAACATGCATGATGACATATGGGAATATGCACCACACCATGCATGATGACATATGGGAATATGCACCACACCATGCATGATGTCACATAGCAACATGCACCACACCATGCATGGTAACACATGACAACATGCACCACACCATGCATGATGACACTTGGCAACATGCACCACACCATGCATGATGACACTTAGCAACATGCACCACACCATGCATGATGACACATGGCAACATGCACCACAACATGCATGATGACAACATGCACCACACCATGCATGATGACACATGGCAACATGCACCACACCATGGATGACACATGGCAAAATGCACCACACCATGCATGATGACACATGACAGAATGCACCACACCATGCACAATGACACATGGCAACATGCACCACACCATGCATGATGACAACATGCACCACACCATGCATGATGACACATACCAACATGCACCACACCATGCATGATGACACATAGCAACATGCACCACACCATGCATGGTAACACATGACAACATGCACCACACCATGCATGATGACACTTGGCAACATGCACCACACCATGCATGATGACACTTAGCAACATGCACCACACCATGCATGACACATGGCAACATGCACCACAACATGCATGATGACAACATGCACCACACCATGCATATGATGACACATGGCAACATGCACCACACCATGGATGACACATGGTAAAATGTCTACACCATGCATGATGATCTCATGACAGAATGCACCACACCATGCACAATGACACATGGCAACATGCACCACACCATGCATGCGATGACAACATGCACCACACCATGCATGATGACACATACCAACATGCACCACACCATGGCATGATGACACATGGCAATTATGCACATTACCATGCTTAGCGATGCCACATGGCAACATGCACCACACCATGCATGATGGCAGCATGGTAAATGTACCACACCATGCATGATGACACATGACAACATGCACCACACCATGCATGATGACACATGGCAACATGCACTACACCATGCATGACACATGGCAACATATGTTTCACACCATGCATGATGACATATGGGGAATATGCACCACAATTACGTGATGATGTCCCATGGCAACATGCACCACACCATGCATGATGACACATGGCAACATGCACCACACCATGCAGTGGTAACACATGACAACATGCACCACACCATGCACAATGACACATGGCAACATGCACCACACCATGCATGATGACATATGGCAACATGCACCACACCATGCATGATGACACATACCAACATGCACCACACCATGCACAATGACACATGGCAACATGCACCACACCATGCATGATGACACATGGCAACATGCACCACACCATGCGTGATGACACATAGCAACATGCACCACACCATGCATGATGACATATGGGAATATGCACCACACCATGCATGATGTCACATGGCAACATGCACCACACCATGCATGATGACACTTAGCAACATTTACCACAACATGCATGATGGCACATAGCAACATGCATCACACCATGCATGATGACACTTAAGCAACATGCACCACACCATGCCAGATGACACAGCATAGCAACATGCACCACACCATGCATGATGACACCTAGCAACATGCACCACATCATGCATGATGACACATGGCAACATGCACCACACCATGCATGATGACACATATCAACATGCACCACACCATGCACAATGACACATGGTAATATGCACCACACCATGCATGATGACACATGGCACCATGCACCACACCATGCATGATGACACTTAACAACATGCACCACACCATGCATGATGGCACATGACAACATGCACCACAACATGCATGATGACATATGGGAATATGCACCACACCATGCATGATGACAAATGGGAATATGCACCACACCATGCATGATGTCACATAGCAACATGCACCACACCATGCATGGTAACACATGACAACATGCACCACACCATGCATGATGACACTTGGCAACATGCACCACACCATGCATGATGACACTTAGCAACATGCACCACACCATGCATGATGACACATGGCAACATGCACCACAACATGCATGATGACAACATGCACCACACCATGCATGATGACACATGGCAACATGCACCACACCATGGATGACACATGGCAAAATGCACCACACCATGCATGACACATGACAGAATGCACCACACCATGCACAATGACACATGGCAACATGCACCACACCATGCATGATGACAACATGCACCACACCATGCATGATGACACATACCAACATGCACCACACCATGCATGATGACACATAGCAACATGCACCACACCATGCATGGTAACACATGACAACATGCAATTCACACCATGCATGATGACACTATGGCAACATGCACCACACCATGCATGATGACACTTAAGTAACATGCACCACACCATGCATGATGACACATGGCAACATGCACCACAACATGCATGATGACAACATGCACCACACCATGCATGATGACACATGGCAACATGCACCACACCATGGATGACAGCATGGCAAAATGCACCACACCATGCATGATGACTCATGACAGAATGCACTACACCATGCAATAATGACACATGGCAACATGCACCACACCATGCATGATGACAACATGCACCACACCATGCATGATGACACATACCAACATGCACCACACCATGCATGATGACACATGGCAACATGCACCACACCATGCATGATGCCACATGCCAACATGCACCACACCATGCATGATGGCACATGGCAAAATAATACACCACACCATGCATGATGACACATGACAACATGCACCACCACACCATGCATGATGACACATGGTTAATATGCACCACACCATGCATGACACATGGCAACATGCGCCACACCATGCATGATGACATATGGGAATATGCACCACACCATGCATGATGTCCCATGGCAACATGCACCACACCATGCATGATGACACATAGCAACATGCACCACACCATGCATGGTAACACATGACAACATGCACCACACCATGCATGATGACACATGGCAACATGCACCACACCATGCATGACACATGACAGAATGCACCACACCATGCACAATGACACATGGCAACATGCACCACACCATGCATGATGACACATACCAACATGCACCACACCATGCATGATGACACATGGCAACATGCACCACACCATGCATGACACATGACAACATGCGCCACACCATGCATGATGACATATGGCAATATGCACCACACCATGCATGATGTCACATGGCAACATGCACCACACCATGCATGATGACACTTGGCAACATGCACCACACCATGCATGATGACACATGGCAACATGCACCACACCATGCATGATGACAACATGCTCCACACACCATGCATGACACATGGCAAAATGCACCACACCATGCATGATGACACATGACAACATGCACCACACCATGCACAATGACACATCGCGTTATGCACCACACCATGCATGATGACACCACAACATGCCGCTTGACAGGTAAGCATACAGTTACATGATTAAAGCAATGAAGACTAGTCAGATGGTAATGATGATCGCTTGTATTGGTATGTGTACAGAATATAAAGCATGTGACAGCATTAAGACATGGAACATCTTCAGTGTAAATCTGTCACCATGACCATCACAATAGTAGGCCCAAGTAAGTCGTATGTCTCCAGTCAAAACTGCACACGCTACAGAAGACATAAATTATCATGACCATATTGAACCAAGGAGGTGCTCTTCACCAAAGTCATTACATTTGGTACTAATCAACCTGCCTGTATCAGTCACTGTGTTGTTTTCTACATCCACAATCAGTCTTCACATTTCAACCCGAATATCTGTTGTGTAAAGTGTGTCAGATCAGTAGTTCCGAACCAAGGTCAAGGTAACCAGTATAGTCCTGCCTTAATATTGATGTGGTATTTCATGAAAGGATCAGTTTCCATTTCTCATGGATGAGGAATCAGTGTTTGTTTTTTCTTCAGGTTACTACCTACTTGATGCATCATCAATTTTGCCGGTTATTGCACTTGACCTCCAGCCACATGATTCAGTCCTTGACCTTTGTGCAGCACCAGGGGGAAAGACTCTTGCAATGCTTCAGTTGGTGTCTGCAGGTTAGTAGTCTTCTCATAGATTCATACAACTGGTAATATAACAAGGATGATGTGTCTGCAGGTAAGTAGTCTTCTCATAGATTCATACAACTGGTAATATAACAAGGATGATGTGTCTGCAGGTTAGTAGTCTTCTCATAGCTTCATACAACTGGTAATATAACAAGGATGATGTGTCTGCAGGTTAGTAGTCTTCTCATAGCTTCATACAACTGGTAATATAACAAGGATGATGTGTCTGCAGGTTAGTAGTCTTCTCATAGCTTCATACAACTGGTAATATAACAAGGATGATGTGTCTGCAGGTTAGTAGTCTTCTCATAGCTTCATACAACTGGTAATATAACAAGGATGATGTGTCTGCAGGTTAGTAGTCTTCTCATAGCTTCATACAACTGGTAATATAACAAGGATGATGTGTCTGCAGGTTAGTAGTCTTCTCATAGCTTCATACAACTGGTAATATAACAAGGATGATGTGTCTGCAGGTTAGTAGTCTTCTCATAGCTTCATACAACTGGTAATATAACAAGGATGATGTGTGTGCAGGTTAGTAGTCTTCTCATAGCTTCATACAACTGGTAATATAACAAGGATGATGTGCCTGCAGGTTAGTAGTCTTCTCATAGCTTCATACAACTGGTAATATAACAAGGATGATGTGCCTGCAGGTTAGTAGTCTTCTCATAGATTCATACAACTGGTAATATAACAAGGATGATGTGTCTGCAGGTTAGTAGTCTTCTCATAGCTTCATACAACTGGTAATATAACAAGGATGATGTGTCTGCAGGTTAGTAGTCTTCTCATAGCTTCATACAACTGGTAATATAACAAGGATGATGTGTCTGCAGGTTAGTAGTCTTCTCATAGCTTCATACAACTGGTAATATAACAAGGATGATGTGTCTGCAGGTTAGTAGTCTTCTCATAGCTTCATACAACTGGTAATATAACAAGGATGATGTGTCTGCAGGTTAGTAGTCTTCTCATAGCTTCATACAACTGGTAATATAACAAGGATGATGTGTCTGCAGGTTAGTAGTCTTCTCATAGCTTCATACAACTGGTAATATAACAAGGATGATGTGTCTGCAGGTTAGTAGTCTTCTCATAGCTTCATACAACTGGTAATATAACAAGGATGATGTGTCTGCAGGTTAGTAGTCTTCTCATAGCTTCATACAACTGGTAATATAACAAGGATGATGTGTCTGCAGGTTAGTAGTCTTCTCATAGATTCATACAACTGGTAATATAACAAGGATGATGTGTCTGCAGGTTAGTAGTCTTCTCATAGCTTCATACAACTGGTAATATAACAAGGATGATGTGTCTGCAGGTTAGTAGTCTTCTCATAGCTTCATACAACTGGTAATATAACAAGGATGATGTGTCTGCAGGTTAGTGTAGTCTTCTCATAGCTTCATACAACTGGTAATATAACAAGGATGATGTGTGTGCAGGTTAGTAGTCTTCTCATAGATTCATACAACTGGTAATATAACAAGGATGATGTGTCTGCAGGTTAGTAGTCTTCTCATAGCTTCATACAACTGGTAATATAACAAGGATGATGTGTCTGCAGGTTAGTAGTCTTCTCATAGCTTCATACAACTGGTAATATAACAAGGATGATGTGTCTGCAGGTTAGTAGTCTTCTCATAGCTTCATACAACTGGTAATATAACAAGGATGATGTGTCTGCAGGTTAGTAGTCCTCTCATAGCTTCATACAACTGGTAATATAACAAGGATGATGTGTCTGCAGGTTAGTAGTCTTCTCATAGCTTCATACAACTGGTAATATAACAAGGATGATGTGTCTGCAGGTTAGTAGTCTTCTCATAGCTTCATACAACTGGTAATATAACAAAGGATGATGTGTCTGCAGGTTAGTAGTCTTCTCATAGCTTCATACAACTGGTAATATAACAAGGATGATGTGTCTGCAGGTTAGTAGTCTTCTCATAGATTCATACAACTGGTAATATAACAAGGATGATGTGTCTGCAGGTTAGTAGTCTTCTCATAGCTTCATACAACTGGTAATATAACAAGGATGATGTGTCTGCAGGTTAGTAGTCTTCTCATAGCTTCATACAACTGGTAATATAACAAGGATGATGTGTCTGCAGGTTAGTAGTCTTCTCATAGCTTCATACAACTGGTAATATAACAAGGATGATGTGTCTGCACGTTAGTAGTCTTCTCATAGATTCATACAACTGGTAATATAACAAGGATGATGTGTCTGCAGGTTAGTAGTCTTCTCATAGCTTCATACAACTGGTAATATAACAAGGATGATGTGTGTGCTCATGTTGTCTGATTGCATGAAGAGAGATGATAGCACCAGACATAGTCTTAATGGCAGACATTTTCTTGTATCTCACCAACAATTGAAAGGCTTTAATACCACGAAGACTCTGAGTTCTTTCATGAAATATAGTTGTAATAAACCTAATAAAGTAAATAGCTTGTACAAATTTCCTTTTTCAATCAGCCAAAACAAATTATTTGTAAAATTAGCCTATACAATTGATATTATTACTATTTGACCCTGATTGTCAACACTGTTTGATGTATCTGTTCCATATGAAAAGACAACATACCTTGTTATGGTTGACAACTTTTGATAATTTTTTTATTTCTCTCCAACCTGCCGATTAAGTCATTGGTATCTTGTTGAATACTTGACTCTTATGTAGGTTACCTTGATACGATTGAATATCGATATTTTGTCTCAGTGTATATTTGATACGAAAGTGGGGCGAATACATTTTATTAAACATGAAAAACTGATTCATGTTAGTATCTGACTGATTGTGGCATCTTGGATTTGATTCCTCACTCTCAAACCGTTGGTGATGCCAGTTCGACATGTTCCTGTCCAGTAGTTTGAATACAACCACACTCCTGCAGGCAAAAGTGTGTTCTTGTGCACAAATCCTCTCGGGTATATTTGTAATTATGTTGTGAGTTTGTGATTTCTAAAATTTGTTCCATCATAATATAAGAGAGCCATATATGTGACATGAACCGATAAGATGGTGATATGTTGATATATACAAGTACTACAGAAGTGTCATATGTGACATGAACCGATAACATGGTGATATGTTGATATATACCAGTACTGCAGAAGTGTCATATGTGACATGAACTGATAACATGGTGATATGTTGATATATACAAGTACTGCAGAAGCATCATATGTGACATGAACCGATAACATGGTGATATGTTGATATATACCAGTACTACAGAAGTGTCATATGTGACATGAACTGATAACATGGTGATATGTTGATATATACCAGTACTGCAGAAGTGTCATATGTGACATGAACTGATAACATGGTGATATGTTCATATATACCAGTACTACAGAAGTGTCATATGTGACATGAACCGATAACATGGTGATATGTTGATATATACCAGTACTGCAGAAGTGTCATATGTGACAGTCTGACATGAACCGATAACATGGTGATATGTTGATATATACCAGTACTACAGAAGTGTCATATGTGACATGAACTGATAACATGGTGATATGTTGATATATACCAGTACTGCAGAAGTGTCATATGTGACATGAACTGATAAGATGGTGATATGTTGATATATACCAGTACTGCAGAAGTGTCATATGTGACATGAACTGATAACATGGTGATATGTTGATATATACCAGTACTGCAGAAGTGTCATATGTGACATGAACTGATAACATGGTGATATGTTGATATATACAAGTACTGCAGAAGCATCATATGTGACATGAACCGATAACATGGTGATATGTTGATATATACCAGTACTGCAGAAGTGTCATATGTGACATGAACTGATAACATGGTGATATGTTCATATATACCAGTACTACAGAAGTGTCATATGTGACATGAACTGATAACATGGTGATATGTTCATATATACCAGTACTGCAGAAGTGTCATATGTGACATGAACTGATAACATGGTGATATGTTGATATATACAAAGAAGTGTACTGCAGAAGTTATCATATGTGACATGAACCCGATAACATGGTGATATGTTGATATATACCAGTACTGCAGAAGTGTCATATGTGACATGAACTGATAACATGGTGATATGTTGATATATACCAGTACTACAGAAGTGTCATATGTGACATGAACTGATAACATGGTGATATGTTGATATATACCAGTACTGCAGAAGTGTCATATGTGACATGAACTGATAACATGGTGATATGTTGATATATACCAGTACTACAGAAGTGTCATATGTGACATGAACTGATAACATGGTGATATGTTGATATATACCAGTACTGCAGAAGTGTCATATGTGACATGAACTGATAACATGATGATATGTTGATATATACCAGTATTACAGAAGTGTCATATGTGACATGAACTGATAACATGGTGATATGTTGATATATACCAGTACTGCAGAAGTGTCATATGTGACATGAACTGAAAACATGGTGATATGTTCATATATACCAGTACTACAGAAGTGTCATATGTGACATGAACTGTTAACATGGTGATATGTTGATATATACCAGTACTGCAGAAGTGTCATATGTGACATGAACTGATAACATGGTGATATGTTGATATATGCCAGTACTACAGAAGTGTCATATGTGACATGAACCGATAACATGGTGATATGTTGATATATACCAGTACTGCAGAAGTGTCATATGTGACAGTCTGACATGAACTGTTAACATGTTGATATGTTGATATATACCAGTACTGCAGAAGTGTCATATGTGACTGTCTGACATGAACCGATAACATGGTGATATGTTGATGTATACCAGTACTACAGAAGAGTTGTATGTGACAATCTGACATGAACTGATAACATGGTGATATGTTGATATATACCAGTACTACAGAAGTGTCATATGTGACATGAACCGATAACATGGTGATATGTTGATATATACCAGTACTGCAGAAGTGTCATATGTGACTGTCTGACATGAACCGATAACATGGTGATATGTTGATATATACCAGTACTACAGAAGTGTTGTATGTGACTGTCTGACATGAACTAATAACATGGTGATATGTTGATATGTACCAGTACTGCAGAAGTGTCATATGTGACTGTCTGACATGAACCGATAACATGGTGATATGTTGATATATACCAGTACTACAGAAGTGTTGTATGTGACAATCGGACATGAACTGATAACATGGTGATATGTTGATATATACCAGTACTGCAGAAGTGTCATATGTGACAGTCTGACATGAACTGATAACATGGTGATATGTTGATATATACCAGTACTGCAGAAGTGTCATATGTGACAGTCTGACATGAACTGATAACATGGTGATATGTTGATATATACCAGTACTGCAGAAGTGTCATATGTGACTGTCTGACATCATACAATTATAGACTCTTGTAGAGGTCGATATCGTTTTTTATTGACCTGAGTAAAACAATATCGACCGAGCTTGCGAGGTCGATATTGTTTTTCTCAGGTCAATAAAACGATATCGACTTCTAAGAAGAGTCTATAATTGTTTTATTATATAATGAAAGAAGAAACGGGTATTAACATAAACTGTTAATGCACACACTGTGCCATCTATCCGAAAGTGATCTGATTGGCTGAAAAGCCCCTTCGTACGGGATTCCTTGTCTGTTTTTAGTAACCCAAGTCAATATCGTAATTTATCAGAAAACTCAAAGTCAATATCGTGTTTTGTAGTCAATCATGTGACTGTCTTTTGACCAATCGTGGTACAGGAAAAATGCTACCTATATAATAAGAACCGATAACATGGTGATATGTTGATATATACCAGTACTACAGAAGTGTTGTATGTGACAATCTGACATGAACTGATAACATGGTGATATGTTGATATATACCAGTAACTGATTGTCTGGGTTCAATTATGTACAGATGTCATGGTGGTATGCTAATTTTATTTGCTGATTATGGTATAAATCAGTATATATGCTCACATTTGTCAAAACACGATGTGTTTACAACAGACTAAATATTCATGGAGTTACTGACTGCTTTCTGTTTGTTACAGACTACATGACCTGTAATGATGTATCAACTGCCCGGCTGAGGAGACTGAAGGAAGTGTTGAAGTGGTACTACCCACACTACAGTAATGTTGACATACTACAGAGGGACGCCAGGCAGATGCATGAATGTCTTTACTCTAAGGTGAAATGTTTTCTAGGCTGCTGTATTATGTTTGGTTTGTGCTTCCCTCCTTTGCCAATATTGATTAAAGGTACTGTGGGTCAAAGGAGCAGTTACTGTCTTTTAATTTAATGTCATCTTTATCCTATCTCTTTGGGAATACTCAGTCTATCTTGTTTCTCAGACAAGCAAGGCTTGTAACAACACTAGTTCCGAGACAAGATTAAAAGAACTTGCCAGATGTAAAGTTAAATGAACGTTACTTGTGCAGTATGAAGACAATTTTTAACATCTCATATGATCTTTAGGGACACAACCGCATTGTTTTCAAGGTGCTTGTTAATGCCCTATGTAACCTTGACAGCCATGTTATGTTGCAGGTGCTTGTTAATGCCCTATGTAATCTTGACAGCCATGTTATGTTCCTGGTGCTTGTTAATGCCCTATGTAACCTTGACAGCCATGTTATGTTGCAGGTGCTTGTTAATGCCCTATGTAACCTTGACAGCCATGTTATGTTCCTGGTGCTTGTTAATGCCCTATGTAACCTTGACAGCCATGTTATGTTGCAGGTGCTTGTTAATGCCCTATGTAATCTTGACAGCCATGTTATGTTCCTGGTGCTTGTTAATGCCCTATGTAACCTTGACAGCCATGTTATGTTGCAGGTGCTTGTTAATGCCCTATGTAACCTTGACAGCCATGTTATGTTCCTGGTGCTTGTTAATGCCCTATGTAACCTTGACAGCCATGTTATGTTGCAGGTGCTTGTTAATGCCCTTTATCCAGCCTAATGTAAGAATGTCCAGTTTTGATTGGTTCACGTGACTCTGATAAAATACCATGCACACCCGTCACGATCCGCGAGCAGGGAGTACAAAAGTCATATTATCCCCGCGCCACCGGTGACCACGCCGAAGTGAGAAAAGCATGCATCGCCATATTTTTGCAAAATAGACAAACCATTTAAGACGCAGAAAGCTTTTGGACTTTCAATACAAATTTATACATAGAGTTATTTACACAAAACGAGAGAGTTGTTTAAAATGAAACTAGTTGATAATGACGTATGTACATCATGTATTGTAAGTGAGAATATTTATCATGTATATATTGAATGTCCAACCATTAGAATATTCTGGAAAGAATTCACCAATTTTGTTAATTGTGTCCGGCACAGAACATTAAGTACTCTCAGCTCAAGATATACTATTTTGTGCTAATAGCGACCCTTTGCTCAACCACATGATCATATTAGCCAAGCGCCACATTTTTGTCATGAATATCAAGGGTGTGAAACCAAGCTTCACCACATATAAAGGGTTACTAAAAGACGTATATAACATTGAGAAATATATTGCTAGAAACAATTTCAATATGAATTTATTTGAGAGAAAATGGATTATACTCCAAAATGTTCTGTGATTGTGACAATGAAATAGCTTATACCCAAGTGTATCTGCCATTGCTCCAGCTTTACATGCTCTCTTTCCCCCAGTGGAACTTGAAACAGAGTGACATGCCACCCATTATATTATTTCATTACAAAACTATGTCCACAGATTGTTTCATACAAAGTGTATCCAAGTGAAGTGAATAAAAAAAAATGTGAAAAAAAAGAGCGTGCATCGCCAAGCCTTTAGTAAGGTGCGCTGCATTGAGGTCAATCGATCAGCTGTTGTCAACATGGCATCTCATAAATAAAAAACAAGTCGATTCGATGAGTATTGTTTTCTTTTGATTTAGTAAAAACATTCGGCTAGATAAATGCGTTATCACATCGTGTCTCGGGAAATACGGGGTTTTATCAGTCCCAAGTAAGGTTGTATTCCCCTCGCCATGGGGTTTTATCAGTCCCGAGTAAGGTTGTATGTATACATGTTATGTTGCAGGGGCTTGTTGATGCTCCATGTTACACTGACCGTCATGTTATGTTGCAGGTGCTTGTTGATGCTCCATGTTACACTGACCGTCATGTTATGTTGCAGGTGCTTGTTGATGCTCAATGTTACACTGACCGTCATGTTATGTTGCAGGGGCTTGTTGATGCTTCATGTTACACTGACCATCATGTTATGTTGCAGGTGCTTGTTGATGCTCCATGTTACACTGACCATCATGTTATGTTGCAGGGGCTTGTTGATGCTCCATGTTACACTGACCATCATGTTATGTTGCAGGTGCTTGTATATGCTCCATGTTACACTGACCATCATGTTATGTTGCAGGTGCTTGTTGATGCCCAATGTAACACTGACCGTCGTGTTATGTTGCAGGTGCTTTTTGATGCTCCATGTTACACTGACCATCATGTTATGTTGCAGGGGCTTGTTGATGCTCAATGTTACACTGACTGTCATGTTATGTTGCAGGTGCTTGTTGATGCTCCATGTTACACTGACCATCATGTTATGTTGCAGGTGCTTGTTGATGCCCAATGTAACACTGACCGTCGTGTTATGTTGCAGGTGCTTGTTGATGCTCCATGTTACACTGACTGTCATGTTATGTTCAGGTGCTTGTTGATGCTCCATGTAACACTGACCATCATGTTATGTTGCAGGTGCTTGTTGATGCTCCATGTTACACTGACCATCATGTTATGTTGCAGTGGCTGGTTGATGCTCCATGTTACACTGACCATCATGTTATGTTGCAGGGGCTTGTTGATGCTCCATGTAACACTGACCATCATGTTATGTTGCAGGTGCTTGTTGATGCTCCATGTTACACTGACCATCATGTTATGTTGCAGGTGCTTGTTGATGCTCCATGTAACACTGACCGTCGTGTTATGTTGCAGGTGCTTGTTGATGCTCCATATTACACTGACCATCATGTTATGTTGCAGGTGCTTGTTGATGCTCCATGTTACACTGACCGTCATGTTGTGTTGCAGGGGCTTGTTGATGCTCCATGTTACACTGACCGTCATGTTATGTTGCAGGGGCTTGTTGATGCTCCATGTTACACTGACCGTCATGTTATGTTGCAGGTGCTTGTTGATGCTCCATGTAACACTGACCGTCGTGTTATGTTGCAGGTGCTTGTTGATGCTCCATATTACACTGACCATCATGTTATGTTGCAGGGGCTTGTTGATGCTCCATGTTACACTGACCATCATGTAATGTTGCAGCTGCTTGTTGATGCTCCATGTTACACTGAACATCATGTTATGTTGCAGGTGCTTGTTGATGCTCCATGTTACACTGAACATCATGTTATGTTGCAGGTGCTTGTTGATGCTCCATGTAACACTGACCGTCATGTTGTGTTGGAAGATGAAAACAATCTGTTCAAGCCCTCACGAGTCAATGAGAGACTTGAACTGCCACGCAGACAGAAGGACTTACTCTTGTGAGGATAACCCTAGTACATCCACTGTTGATAACAACATGAAATTTTTGTTTCTTCATTTTATTCCTGAGTCTTAAGTTTCAAACATTAGATTGACTGTAACAAATAAAAAGAACTTAATTAAGTATATGGCTATCATGTTCCCTAAATTTACACATGTACTACATAATGGCATATATATTGGACAATTTAAATTACAGCACAAACTTGAAACTTACACAAATACAATGTGTGAAACCAATATCTCAACTGCACTGAATAAACAGGAAGCTTAATATTTCAAATATCTTTCATACAACTTTAAAGCAAAAGAATACTTGTGAACAAAATTTGAAGTCAAAGCCAATTTCCATAAGTCAAGTCCAAAACAGCTATAAAACGTAAATTATGAAAAATTATCTTATCATACATGGTACAAGTTAAGAAAATGCATTTACAATCAAATTCCTCTTGTCAAATAAGTGAATAAGTTTGGCCTACCATTACTTTAGACCTTTCATGACTCCTGCCCATGTCCAACATGTGCATGCAGCACAAACCACATGGTGATTGTGAACACCCCAATTTTAAGTTATCTCCCTTATTATTAAGGCTGACATAACATTAGCACCTCTTCAAAAATGAAATGCAGCATTCAAAACTATGAAATAGAAATAAACCTTTTATCCATTACAACTAATTAACATTGCAAAGCTATGAAGCTATATGAAAAGGTAAAGTGGAAATATTATTAACTAAATTGTTTACTTCCTTAACCAATTGAGCCATTTTAACTGAAATATATGAAAAATCAACATTTTGACCATTACATCCACTCTTCAGTTCTTTTTAGGAGAGTGACAATATTAGCAAATTCTAAGATAATTCAAGCAGAGATTAATTAATGGCCCAACTGGGCACTGATTAGTTGAATTGTTTAATTTTCCCAACCTTAAGAAACAATGCCATGGTGGTGTAGATCACTAATGTAGAGGATATTGTTCAGGATGGCTGCTGTGGCATATACCAAATCTTATTACTAAATTTCAAACTATTGGGTGGTAGGAACAGTTGTGAAGTTTTAGTTTCACTGGGCAAATGTTTTTGGGACACTGTTTTTTCAGTGTGAGAATATACATTTCAAGAGAATTTTTTGCAAAAGTTAAAATGTAAGATAAAAAAATGGCACTTTGCAACCCCACTACTTACTATACATATGCCAAATTTAATTACGTCTTTCAAATATATTTGCCATAAGAAGTCCTAGCTTAGAGGTGACTAATGGGATCGGGTGGTAAGGCTCACTGACTTGGTGGACACATATCTTCATATCCCAAATCGGTAGATCAATGCTAATGCTGTTAATCACTGGATTGTCTGGACCAGAGTCGACTTGATGACTACTATGGGTTACTGAAGATCAATTTTTAAAAGGATCTTCACGGTTCAAGTCTAAATGAACAACAAAGAAGGCTCTTGACTCAATTTCTGGTTGCCTCTTCTGATGTGTACTCAAGTGAGAATTTACAACACTTAATCACTTCTGATACTCCAACCACAGTCCTTTCCATCCAGAGTAGTGGTCCTTCACCAATCCCTAATGGATTGCCATTTCCTCGCCTTTGTCCTTCCAACCCTGACAACTATTCCCACCTGTTTGATCATCACTGGATTCAGTTCCTCCATCAGATTCTGCTGAGATCCAGATGGTATCTTCGATTCATGCGCTTGTATCAACGATCCTTCCTCCATCAGCAATCCCTTCTCTAGTGGCAATCCCTCCAACTTGGGTGATCTTTCTGCTATCAGCAATCTCTCCACCTTGGGTGATCTTTCTACTATCAGCAATCTCTCCAACTTGGGTGATCTTTCTACTATCAGCAATCTCTCCACCTTGGGTGATCTTTCTACTATCAGCAATCTCTCCAACTTGGGTGATCTTTCTACTATCAGCAATCTCTCCAACTTGGGTGATCTTTCTACTATCAGCAATCTCTCCACCTTCTTTCTAATATGATCTTTCTACTATCAGCAATCTCTCACAACCTTCTTTCTACTATCAGTGATCTTTCTTTCTACTATCAGCAATCTCTCCACCTTGGGTGATCTTTCTACTATCAGCAATCTCTCCACCTTGGGTGAACCTTCTACAGTCTACCCCAATACTTTCTGCGATACTGTCTCATCTTCTTCCTTACCCTCCTCCATCACCCCAGGTGTTTTATGTGATACGTCTTATGCGTCTATCCTGTTTGCCTACTGTGGTCAAACTACCCGTGAAGGTCCGGGTTAGAATATTGATCTTCAGTAACCTATGCTTGTCGGATCAGGTGGTCAGGCTCCCTGACTTGGTTGACACATGTCATTGGTTCCCAATTGCGCAGATCGATGCTCATGCTGTTGATCACTGGATTGTCTAGTCCAGACTTGATTATTTACAGACCGCCGCCATATAGCTGGAATATTGCTGAGTGTGGCGTAAAACTAAACTAAACTCACTCACTCAAACACGAATCGTTCTCTTGTCTTCAATAATCTGAAGTTCAAGGTGCTTATCCGAGCTGTCACCCATTGGTCCAGTATCCTGCGATCCTCCACTGTGATAACACAGCCGGACAACCCCACAGTGATATGGTGTATCAATCGCTTGGGATCAACATAGTCCACACGCCTGCAGGATCTCGCTTTTTTCAACTGATCAACACTGTTCACATCAATGAGTCCAAAGGTTCTGAGCTTCTGGGGCAAGTTATGCTCTGGGCAGGTCAGGGGCAGTTCTCACTCTTAGCTCTGCATTTGACAAATGATACAGGGTGAAATCACGTAACTTGGGACTGCCCACTCCTGGGAGTTTGTGTTGAGTAACTCTGAGGTTTTATGAAGCATTCCATCACAAGTTACAACAGATGCTCAAGTACTGAGATGTCAAGGCCTGCCTCCTTGTGAACTATGTCACTCACGGTTGTTGTATTATTACAGCCTGACAACCAACCGTGGGATAAGCACATAGTGTGAGATATGTGTCTTAGACATCTCACATTTAAATACAACTAAATCTTTACAGATCATACTACATAAACATTAAATAAAATAATACACATAATTACCTCCTATGGACTGAATCAAATGGACAGGTACTTCAACAGAATGCTGTCAATAGTGTGTATACTATATGTATCTAAACACAACATCAAAAGTATAAATGCTATGCAAAACACTAGTATAAAATGCATCATGATAATAAGTGCAATACAAATTGCTTTCAAAGCAGTGGTTTTACACAAATACATCACTAAGATATTCAAAAGTATTTTATCTCAACATTACATATGCATCCAACAATAATACTTTAAAATACCATAAACCAATTGAAATATTTTTGTACTCTCTATTCTTAATAAAATACATTATGATACATAAAACTAACTTTAGACTTCCTCAAGACAAAACCAGTGTGTTCCTTGTGAAGTTGTCAGCCAGAATGAAAAGCATGAGCTGCAACTTACAGCTAATGAGAAGTTGTGAGGCTACTTTGTAAACTTTAAGCCAATCAGCTCATTTGGTAGAAAATATGAACTGTGAGCTATACTTACATAGGTGACGAGGCTCCAAATGAGTGATACTGAGGGTCCCTACCTCATTATGAAATTAACACTATTTTAGAGGTTATTATTGAAACCTATCACCAAATAATACCGAAATGAATACAAGCTCTTACATATGTTCAAACATCACACAAAGGCATATAATGCTAAACTTAGTTAAAACGGAGAAGACATAACAGGTAAATTTTTCCCAATTTTTCTAATTTCACTTTCAAGATAGCAATGGTCAGATACATGAAGCAGAGCTGGTGCAGGTAGTGACTATGTTCCTGTTGTACTTTCAGAGCTGGCATCAAATGTTGTAAGCCTGGCGGGTCAGTGGTGTACTCTACCTGCACGCTGTCCCCAGCACAGAATGATGGCGTCATACAGGCCGTTGTGGAGGAAATATGGCAGCAAACATCCATAGACATTGTTATTCAGGATCTCACCTGGATGGCCTCCAAGTTTCGTAATACATTCAAATTCTATAGAAACTGTCGGCATGGGCAGCTAGTGCTGCCTTGCTTAACAGCAAATTTTGGACCTATGTACTTCAGCAAGATAACGAGAATCAAGTAGCTTGTGTGTCTCACAAATAAACTCTGTGTTGAATTTCACCTATTTACTTTTCTTTTGCATGTCTTAGTGCATCTAGCTGGAATATTGCTGAGAGCAGCGTAAACTAAACTCACTCACTCTTAGTGCATCAGCTACAAGCAGTGCTTGCAGCATATACCAATCATGAAGTGGTCTCAACACATCACAGATATGTTGTGATTGCAACTCATCACCTGCAGGAAATTATTTCAACTAAGAAACATCACCCCCATGAAGAAATCTGCAAGCATCACAAACATAAGATCTCAGCATATCATATTGTCATGTTTGCTGCCAGCATGATACCTATACATGTTTTGTATGTGAACAGCTAGTAGGTGCTTATAAAAACAATACAGTTTAACAGAAAAAAACTTATGAGCAATGTCACCACAATCGTCCAATAACGTCAAAAATCTTCAGCTTCCTTATCTTCCGACCTTACATTACAATATGATACAAATCACGTCAACAGTGCTGTGCAGATAACCTGAACCATACACTGTCACATTTATTGACACAAAAAAGTTTTGAAACATAATATCATCATAACATTAATAAAATGGTAATGACATGGTAATAGCCAAGCATGGAGCCAAGTTTTTATGTAATGGCAATACATATAGTTCATAATTTACTTAATTAACACAAGTTCACATAATTATCAAAAATACTATAATGGTAATTCACACAAGTTCATTCGTTCATAATTTACAGTAGTTCATTCGTTCATAATTCACACAAGTTCATTCAAACACACAAGGGGCATACACTCTGGAACACATTGTCAGAAGATTTGGATTAAAAACTTCCAACAACAACAAAAAACAAACATCCCATGTTTTAATTAGATTTGGATTAAAATCTTACAACAACAACAAAAAACAAACATCCCATGGATATGGATTAGTCATGACACTGAGTCAAGACATTTCACAATGAAAACATTTGAGTCTCATGTTCAAATTCCATTTAAAATAACAACAACAACAAGCTATACACTATTTACACCATTTTACTATGTAATTTATTAAATTTTTATTTTTTGGCCATTTTGACTTTTCATTTTGGCCCATTTGACTTATAGCCTAGCCCTTTTGATTTTTTTTGGCCCTTTTTTCCTTCGGCCCTTTTGACTACAACCCTTTGTGTCGCGGCCCTTTTGGTTTTGTGTGTGATCGTTTCCACAATGGATGGTTTTGAATGATTATTTTCTGTGGCTGTTTTGATCATATCCTCCCAGATAGTTCTGGCATGGGGCCGTTTTGATTTGATGCCGTGTGGTTCTGCGAGGAAATGGGTAGCATAGCTCATACGCAGCGCTTCGTGACCCTCTCCGTAGAATAGCGCAGAGAGCTCCGTCACTATCGCTGTGACGAGCTGAAAGGGGACATTACTCCAATTTCTTTCTTTTGATGGGACTGCAGAATGAATCCGAAATACCAGACAGCATTTAAACAAAATCGACGGAAAGTCGATGAATCGAAAGGTCACAAAAGGAAATTCAAGAAGCAGCATTACACGCGAAAGCCAAAAGTAGCGGATGTCACCGACAGTGAGATCGCCGAGTTGAAAACTCGGTATCAGTTTGTAAGTGCAACTGCAACACGTGGTCAGGCAGCACAGCAACATGAGTTGAGAGCAGTAATTCATGACTTTATAAACTGCTTCCAGTTTACTATTAGACTTATGATAATCTCTGATATTATCTCCGAAATAACTGCAGACCACTTTACTTATAATTTTCTGCTGGCTGCCGAACAGTTCTCGCCATATTTTAACGGTGTTTACAACATTACCAGCTTTTACTCCGCCGTACGTTAAATTGATGAAACAGAATTAACTGTTATCCTTAATATGCTATTCGGCTAGAATGCACTTTACCGGGCGCAGCCCTCGCTGCTCCCTTTACGATCCTTAGGGTTAGGGTATGGCTCCCTTTACGATCCTTAGGGTTAGGCACCCTTTACGATCCTTAGGGTTAGGGTTTAGGGTTAGGGTATGTCACCCTTTACGATCCTTAGGGTTAAGCACCCTTTACGATCCTTAGGGTTAGGGAACCCCAGCAATGCTAATTAATGTGCGCCCGGTAAAGTGCAGTACTCCCGGCAGCAGGACAAATAGTTATTTTCTCACAACTAACTGGTAACAGTTATCGCCATTTCTGAATTTCTAATGCCATTCGTGAAATAATATATACAGAACCGCAACCTAAGTTCGTGGATAACCTTGATTCGTGGATTGCGGAAATTATCATGCTAGCTCGTAAATTAAGTCTCGACAGACGTCACGAAGCGGTACTTTTGATGTACATACAATGCCACGCCTCGCTGACAAAAAAGTTCTGAATCTCTGCATTACACGCAAGTACACTAGATATCATTGTCCACCACTGAGATAAATCGCCCCAGATCACTAATACTACCATTACCAAATTTTATTTTTACAAAATGTCAAGTAAAGAAGATACCATTTGCTCCAACCTTCTCACTTCTCATTGTCTGGTTTCCTTGGTGTCAATACTTACTGCAGTGGGATGTCGTACATAGTGGTATAAAGTAACCGACTATGTAATCCACAAAACATGGTGACGTGGTATTTAATGGGCACACGAATGGGTGATGATTGTAAATGGCTTCCGTAAACAAACGTTTTATTCATGAGTGGAATATTAGGCATTTTCAATTTGCTGAATCAATGAATAAAATAATCAGTGCATATACAAAATGAAATCATGCATTTAATATATGAATTTCGCCGCACTTCCCTTATATCCACGAATCAAGGTTACGCGAGTGTATTTATATCATAAAGTAAGCTCGAATAATTGATTGTGTGACTAGTTAAGTGTTTTTGTTTTTTTTAACAGTAGATTGATAGGGAATGAAACAATTAATGACTTTTGTGAACTTGGACTTCGTATTATATAGATCGTGTGACACCCACCCCCCACCACCCTGACTAAGTTAAACATCTTTTATAGGGTTCATAATTTTATCATTAATTTTTCTCTTATGTTACTTACCATCAAGAATTTTCTTTTGCTGTCCTTTATTGTTGTCAAATACCGTTGGAAAAAATACCAGAATTGTAATTGACTGAAATTGTGCACATGTGATACTGATGTATTATTATGCGACAATAACTGTTCGGCAGCCAGTATATTTTGTGTATCTCCTGTAATAGTCGTACTTAACGCTGTTTACCGTGTCATTTATGGATAAAATTGTGCACCTATAGAATACAGAATCACAGATTCACATGAGGACAATTTCAACTGTCTCAAAGACGAGCAACAAATATATTGTGAGAATCCGTTGTATTTAGACAGCAAATCAACTGAGCTTTGTCAATAATTACAATATTTGCATTTTGTTTTCAATCGTTTGTTTCAGCAGGAATGTGTGAGGACTCCGTGGTCACTGATCAAACTGTTACATGCATAAAAATTAAGATCGATGCTCATGTTGTTGATCACTGGATTGTCTGGTCCATATTTGATTATTTACAAACCACTGCCATATAGCTGGAATATTGCTAAGTGCCTCGTAAAACTAAACTCACTCCTTCAGTCACTCATAAAAATTAGTCAGCAATATCAATCAGTTATTCCTACGTGCTATTAGTTTTTTTAATATATTTGGTAAAAGTTGCATCTAAGATAACTTGATATTGGGATATATAGTTTCTGATAAAATAACACTTTCAAATTGAACATCACACCAAAATTGTTTAAAGTTATTTTAATGGGTATGTCAGAACTACAGATAACTTTTTGGGTCATTGAGTTATGTACTCGCTTGTGTTCATCTCAATTGGGTATCCTAATTTTCCTTTTAGTAACCAAATTAATTGTACTCACTTCACTCAAACTCAATTGGGGAGTTTGCCATTTTCCATTAATTTTTAAAATATTCTAAAGTTTAAATGTTAGTGTTTGTTATTTATATTTTATCTGTATTATGAGAAACTACAAGTTGTCAAGTTCATTTCCTGAAATAGAACCTCTCAGTATACCTCAGTTATTTTATCTAATCCCCGGTACACAAGCTAAGATTTGACAGTTTTGTGTGTCCGTGAAAATCACATTTATTGAGTATTTACAAAAATTCAAGCGTACTTGTACGCAACAGACTTAATAGGAATTGAGTTTTCACATAAATATTTGCATAATTTACGCAGATACAGAGCTTATCTGTACCTCTGGTATTTTTTTACGGAATCACAGGTACATTTGTCTGAGATTTCAAATTTGATTGATTCATGTTTGTTATGTTGTTTGTTTACCTGAAGTATCTGAAGGGCTACTGTGTACATTTTGGTTTGCATAATACTGATATTTACCAATAGCTTCACACTTTAAATCTTGTATGCATTAATCAACAACAAACACATACTTCTTCATTGCATATCCTTGTTATATAAAGTCAGCATTAATCAACAACAAACACACATACTTCTTCATTGCATATCCTTGTTATATAAAGTCAGCATTAATCAACAACAAAAACGTACTTCTTAATTGCATATCCTTGTTATATAAAGTCAGCATTAATCAACAACAAAAACATACTTCTTCATTGCATATCCTTGTTATATAAAGTCAGCATTAATCAACAACAAAAACGTACTTCTTCATTGCATATCCTTGTTATATAAAGTCAGCATTAATCAACAACAAAAACATACTTCTTCATTGCATATCCTTGTTATATAAAGTCAGCATTAATCAACAACAAAAACATACTTCTTCATTGCATATCCTTGTTATATAAAGTCAGCTTTAATCAACAACAAAACATACTTCTTCATTGCATATCCTTGTTATATAAAGTCAGCATTAATCAACAACAAAACATACTTCTTCATTGCATATCCTTGTTATATAAAGTCAGCATTAATCAACAACAAAAACATACTTCTTCATTGCATATCCTTGTTATATAAAGTCAGCATTAATCAACAACAAAACATACTTCTTCATTGCATATCCTTGTTATATAAAGTCAGCATTAATCAACAACAAAAACATACTTCTTCATTGCATATCCTTGTTATATAAAGTCAGCATTAATCAACAACAAAACATACTTCTTCATTGCATATCCTTGTTATATAAAGTCAGCATTAATCAACAACAAAACATACTTCTTCATTGCATATCCTTGTTATATAAAGTCAGCATTAATCAACAACAAAAACATACTTCTTCATTGCATATCCTTGTTATATAAAGTCAGCATTAATCAACAACAAAAACATACTTCTTCATTGCATATCCTTGTTATATAAAGTCAGCATTAATCAACAACAAAACATACTTCTTCATTGCATATCCTTGTTATATAAAGTCAGCATTAATCAACAACAAAAACATACTTCTTCTTCTTCATTGCATATCCTTGTTATATAAAGTCAGCATTAATCAACAACAAAACATACTTCTTCATTGCATATCCTTGTTATATAAAGTCAGCATTAATCAACAACAAACACATACTTCTTCATTGCATATCCTTGTTATATAAAGTCAGCATTAATCAACAACAAAACATACTTCTTCATTGCATATCCTTGTTATATAAAGTCAGCATTAATCAACAACAAAACATACTTCTTCATTGCATATCCTTGTTATATAAAGTCAGCATTAATCAACAACAAAACATACTTCTTCATTGCATATCCTTGTTATATAAAGTCAGCATTAATCAACAACAAAACACATACTTCTTCATTGCATATCCTTGTTATATAAAGTCAGCATTAATCAACAACAAAACACATACTTCTTCATTGCATATCCTTGTTATATAAAGTCAGCATTAATCAACAACAAAAACGTACTTCTTCATTGCATATCCTTGTTATATAAAGTCAGCATTAATCAACAACAAAAACATACTTCTTCATTGCATATCCTTGTTATATAAAGTCAGCATTAATCAACAACAAACACATACTTCTTCATTGCATATCCTTGTTATATAAAGTCAGCATTAATCAACAACAAAAACATACAATACTTCTTCATTGCATATCCTTGTTATATAAAGTCAGCATTAATCAACAACAAAAACGTACTTCTTCATTGCATATCCTTGTTATATAAAGTCAGCATTAATCAACAACAAAAACGTACTTCTTCATTGCATATCCTTATTATATAAAGTCAGCATTAATCAACAACAAAAACATACTTCTTCATTGCATATCCTTGTTATATAAAGTCAGCATTAATCAACAACAAAAACATACAGTACTTCTTCATTGCATATCCTTGTTATATAAAGTCAGCGTTAATCAACAACAAAAACATACTTCTTCATTGCATATCCTTGTTATATAAAGTCAGCGCGCTGTTCTATTGATGTGTCTGCCCAAAGCATCTAAGAATGATATTTAAATCAAATCTAGTAGTACCTGTATTGGAAGTATTGATACCAGGACAGGCAAAGCACATTCAGTTACACAGACTATGAACAGGTTGAATTGGTCCCATGTTTAATCTGTAGATGTCCTGCCACTGATTTTTCTGATGTTACAAGTTACCTGACCCTATCCAGTCATAGTGACAGTGATCTATATTTTGTTAGAGTACCAGAGTCTGTATAGAGAAAGTGTAATTCCCACTGTAATACAATGCATATGTTGAAGAAAAGTTTTGTACCTCATTTGGTTATTTTGGTATAAAGAAAACAACACAAAACACAACTGTTTTCATTTGAAAGTTCACTCATTTTTATGTAGATTGTATTCAGACATGCTCTTTTTTTCATGATATTCTGCACTTTGATAAGTGAAATCAGAGTGTTAATGGCTGAGTCTTGTTTCTGGCAGTGCTAGGTGTATGCATGGTAAGATGTGTGCTGTGTGAGCATTGTTATGTTTATCATGTTTGTTTTGGTTTGCAGATTGTTCCTGCAAATATTGAGACCTTTGCTGATCTGCCGTTGTGTGAAAGGACACAGAAAGGTAAACAACCAGATCCAGTTTATTGGACTATAAGTCATCCCTGCCAGACCTACGTGTTCCCAAAGGTTGACTAATAATTAGTAGTTGATAAACATTGTCAGCTTCAATTAATACATCTCCAGTGGAGGTTTGTCTTGATTTTTATTAAACCTGGAGCAACATGTTTTTGTTCCCAATATGCAGAAGCATTTGTTTGAATATAGAACATAAATGAAATATTAAATGCTGTGTTTATCTAAATTCTAACAAATACTGCCCATGAAATACACAATGCCATTTTTAGAAATGGATGGGACTCCTTGCTACATTCATTTATTCTAAAAATATGTGATTACACTTGATTTCTGAAAGGCACATTTATAATATTTTCCTGGTGCACTAAGGCACACTTAGAAAAACTGGTACAGCTGTGACTAGTGTTTAAAGTGTTTCTTCGCTCTTTTGTAGCTTATAGAGCTGTTGGGGGTTTCTGTCACTTGTGATTCAGCAAAATTCATAAAGTGTCATCTCATTGGGTTCAATGCACCCATTAAACTTGTATCAACCAGAATAAGAGGGTAAAATCATGTTAGATAAACACAGAAATATTTGTGTTAGTAAACATGGTAAATACCTAGTGGGTTCCTGTGCAGCTGTAACTGAAGGACACATGTAACCAATCACAGGATTGTCCTGCTGGGTCCTCTACCTCCTCCAGGGGAGGTGGGGTAGCCAGTGGTTAAAGCGTGCACTCATCTTACCCAAGTTCGATTCCCCACATGGGTACAATGTGTGAAGCCCATGCCTGGTGTACCCTGCTGTGATATTGCTAGAATATTGCTAAAGTGGTGTAGACCTCACTCACTCACTGGTCAGACTTGGTTCCTTTGGTTGCATGTCATCATATCCATTTGCCTGTACTGGTGCTCATCATGTCAGTCATTGGATTGTCTGGTGCAGACTCAATTATTTACAGAAATATACCTGGAATATTGGTAATTTGTGGTTTAAAATAAGAGACAAATCCAAAAACAAACAAATCATCCAGTGTTCCTCTCTGTTTCAGGTTTGATGTCTGCCAAGTATACGTCCCCCACAGAAATTCAGCGAGAATCGATTGGTCTCGCTCTCCAAGGACAGGACATCTTGGGAGCTGCCCAGACAGGATCAGGGAAAACCTTGGCATTTCTCCTACCTGTAGGTCGTTAGTGGTCACATAGGCATTTCTCCTACCTGTAGGTCGTTAGTGGCCACATAGGCATTTCTCCTACCTGTAGGTCGTTAGTGGTCACAGAGGCATTTCTCCTACCTGTAGGTGGTTAGTGGCCACTGAGGCATTTCTCCTACCTGTAGGTCGTTAGTGGCCAGTGGCCACTGGGCATTTCTCCATTTCTCCTACCTGTAGGTGGTTTAGTGGCCACATAGGCATTTCTCCTGCCTGTAGGTCGTTAGTGGCCGTAGAGGCATTTCTCCTACCTGTAGGTAGTTAGTGGCCATTGAGGCATTTCTCCTACCTGTAGGTCGAAGGTCGTTAGTGGCCACTGAGGCACTTCTCCTGCCTGTAGGTCGTTAGTGGCCACATAGGCATTTCTCCTGCCTGTAGATCGTTAGTGGCCACTGAGGCACTTCTCCTACCTGAAGGTCGTTAGTGGCCACATAGGCATTTCTCCTACCTGAAGGTCGTTAGTGGCCACATAGGCACTTCTCCTACCTGTAGGTCGTTAGTGGCCACTGAGGCACTTCTCCTTCCTGTAGGTCGTTAGTGGCCACAGAGGCACTTCTCCTGCCTGTAGGTCGTTAGTGGCCACAGAGGCATTTCTCCTACCTGTAGGTCGTTAGTGGCCACAGAGGCATTTCTCCTACCTGTAGGTCGTTAGTGGCCACAGAGGCATTTCTCCTACCTGTAGGTCGTTAGTGGCCACATAGGCATTTCTCCTACCTGTAGGTCGTTAGTGGCCGTAGAGGCATTTCTCCTACCTGTAGGCCGTTAGTGGCCACATAGGCATTTCTCCTACCTGTAGGTCGTTAGTGGCCACTGAGGCATTTCTCCTGCCTGTAGGTCGTTAGTGGCCACAGAGGCATTCCTCCTACCTGTAGGTCCTTAGTGGTCACAGAGGCACTTCTCCTGCCTGTAGGTCATTAGTGGCCACAGAGGCATTTCTCCTGCCTGTAGGTCGTTAGTGGTCACAGAGGCACTTCTCCTACCTGTAGGTCGTTAGTGGCCACAGAGGCACTTCTCCTACCTGTAGGTATTTCTCCTACAAGTCTCTGTATCTTGACATTTATAGTACTTGTAGTAGGGCAGAGTGTCTCTGTATCTTGACATTTATAGTACTTGTAGTAGAGCAGAATGTCTCTGTATCTTGACATTTATAGTACTTGTAGTAGGGTAGAGCGTCTCTGTTTCTTGACATTTGTAGTACTTGCAGTTTTACAGAACACCTCTGTATCTTGACATTTATAGTACTTGCAGTTTAACAGAACACCTCTGTATCTTGACATTTATAGTACTTGCAGTTTGACAGAACACCTCTGTATCTTGACATTTATAGTACTTGTAGTAGGGCAGAATGTCTCTGTATCTTGACATTTGTAGTACTTGCAGTTTGACAGAACACCTCTGTATCTTGACATTTATAGTACTTGCAGTTTGACAGAATGACTCTGTGTCTTGACATTTATAGTACTTGTAATAGAGCAGAGTGTCTCTGTATCTTGACATTTGTAGTACTTGCAGTTTGACAGAACACCTCTGTATCTTGACATTTATAGTACTTGTAATAGAGCAGAGCGTCTCTGTATCTTGACATTTGTAGTACTTGCAGTTTGACAGAACACCTCTGTATCTAAACATTTGTAGTACTTGTAGTAGAGCAAAATGTCTCTGTATCTTGACATTTATAGTACTTGTAGTAGGGCAGAGTGTCTCTGTATCTTGACATTTATAGTACTTGTAGTTTGACAGAATGTCTCTGTATCTTGACATTTATAGTACTTGTAGTAGGGTAGAGCGTCTCTGTTTCTTGACATTTGTAGTACTTGCAGTTTGACAGAACACCTCTGTATCTTGACATTTATAGTACTTGCAGTTTAACAGAACACCTCTCTGTATCTTGACATTTATAGTACTTGCAGTTTGACAGAACACCTCTGTATCTTGACATTTATAGTACTTGTAGTAGGGACAGAATGTCTCTGTATCTCTGACATTTATAGTACTTGCAGTTTGACAGAACACCTCTGTATCTTGACATTTATAGTACTTGCAGTTTGACAGAATGACTCTGTGTCTTGACATTTATAGTACTTGTAATAGAGCAGAGCCGTCTCTGTATCTTGACATTTGTAGTACTTGCAGTTTGACAGAACACCTCTGTATCTTGACATTTATAGTACTTGTAATAGAGCAGAGCCGCCTATGTATCTTGACATTTGTAGTACTTGCAGTTTGACAGAACACCTCTGTATCTTGACATTTATAGTACTTGCAGTAGACAGAACACCTCTGTATCTTGACATTTATAGTACTTGTAGTAGGGCAGAGTGTCTCTGTATCTTGACATTTATAGTACTTGTAGTAGAGCAGAATGTCTCTGTATCTTGACATTTATAGTACTTGTAGTAGGGCAGAGCGTCTCTGTTTCTTGACATTTGTAGTACTTGCAGTTTTACAGAACACCTCTGTATCTTGACATTTATAGTACTTGCAGTTTAACAGAACACCTCTGTATCTTGACATTTATAGTACTTGCAGTTTGACAGAACACCTCTGTATCTTGACATTTATAGTACTTGTAGTAGGGCAGAATGTCTCTGTATCTTGACATTTGTAGTACTTGCAGTTTGACAGAACACCTCTGTATCTTGACATTTATAGTACTTGCAGTTTGACAGAATGACTCTGTATCTTGACATTTATAGTACTTGCAGTTTGACAGAACACCTCTGTATCTTGACATTTGTAGTACTTGCAGTTTGACAGAACACCTCTGTATCTTGACATTTATAGTACTTGTAATAGAGCAGAGCGTCTCTGTATCTTGACATTTGTAGTACTTGCAGTTTGACAGAACACCTCTGTATCTTGACATTTATAGTACTTGCAGTTTGACAGAACACCTCTGTATCTTGACATTTATAGTACTTGCAGTTTGACAGGACACCTCTGTATCTTGACATTTATAGTACTTGCAGTTTGACAGAATGACTCTGTGTCTTGACATTTATAGTACTTGTAATAGAGCAGAGTGTCTCTGTATCTTGACATTTGTAGTACTTGCAGTTTGACAGAACACCTCTGTATCTTGACATTTATAGTACTTGTAATAGAGCAGAGCGTCTATGTATCTTGACATTTGTAGTACTTGCAGTTTGACAGAACACCTCTGTATCTAAACATTTGTAGTACTTGTAGTAGAGCAAAATGTCTCTGTATCTTGACATTTATAGTACTTGTAGTAGGGCAGAGTGTCTCTGTATCTTGACATTTATAGTACTTGTAGTAGAGCAGAATGTCTCTGTATCTTGACATTTATAGTACTTGTAGTAGGGTAGAGCGTCTCTGTTTCTTGACATTTGTAGTACTTGCAGTTTTACAGAACACCTCTGTATCTTGACATTTATAGTACTTGCAGTTTAACAGAACACCTCTGTATCTTGACATTTATAGTACTTGCAGTTTGACAGAACACCTCTGTATCTTGACATTTATAGTACTTGTAGTAGGGCAGAATGTCTCTGTATCTTGACATTTGTAGTACTTGCAGTTTGACAGAACACCTCTGTATCTTGACATTTATAGTACTTGCAGTTTGACAGAATGACTCTGTGTCTTGACATTTATAGTACTTGTAATAGAGCAGAGCGTCTCTGTATCTTGACATTTGTAGTACTTGCAGTTTGACAGAACACCTCTGTATCTTGACATTTATAGTACTTGTAATAGAGCAGAGCGTCTCTGTATCTTGACATTTGTAGTACTTGCAGTTTGACAGAACACCTCTGTATCTTGACATTTATAGTACTTGCAGTTTGACAGAACACCTCTGTATCTTGACATTTATAGTACTTGCAGTTTGACAGGACACCCTGTATCTTGACATTTATAGTACACAGAATGACTCTGTATCTTGACATTTATAGTACTTGCAATAGAGCAGAGTGTCTCTGTATCTTTGACAGTAGTACTTGCAGGTTGACAGAACACTCTGTATCTTGACATTTATAGTACTTGTAATAGAGCAGAGTGTCTCTGTATCTTGACATTTGTAGTACTTGCAGTTTGACAGAATGTCTCTGTATCTAAACATTTGTAGTACTTGTAGTAGAGCAAAATGTCTCTGTATCTTGACATTTATAGTACTTGTAGTAGGGCAGAGTGTCTCTGTATCTTGACATTTATAGTACTTGTAGTAGAGCAGAATGTCTCTGTATCTTGACATTTATAGTACTTGTAGTAGGGCAGAGCGTCTCTGTTTCTTGACATTTGTAGTACTTGCAGTTTTACAGAACACCTCTGTATCTTGACATTTATAGTACTTGTAGTTTGACAGAATGACTCTGTATCTTGACATTTATAGTACTTGCAGTATGACAGAACACCTCTGTATCTTGACATTTATAGTACTTGCAGTTTAACAGAATGACTCTGTGTCTTGACATTTATAGTACTTGTAATATCTTGACATTTATAGTACTTGCAGTTTGACAGAACACCTCTGTATCTTGACATTTATAGTACTTGCAGTTTGACAGGACACCTCTGTATCTTGACATTTATAGTACTTGCAGTTTGACAGAATGACTCTGTGTCTTGACATTTATAGTACTTGTAATAGAGCAGAGTGTCTCTGTATCTTGACATTTGTAGTACTTGCAGTTTGACAGAACACCTCTGTATCTTGACATTTATAGTACTTGCAGTTTGACAGAATGTCTCTGTATCTTGACATTTATAGTACTTGTAATAGAGCAGTGTGGATCTGTATCTTGACATTTGTACCTAACATCCAAAGTTTAATGCTAACCATGGCAACTTGATATTTTACTGTAATGGTGTATAGGATGAAAGGGGGATATAACTTGCAGCACCTTTCTGCAATGGACCTCACAGCACATAAACAATGACTTACTGTCCCTGATTCCAAGCTGGAGTAAACCATGAAAACAGTTTAAAGACAGACATCATTTAGGATTTATTTAGAAAAATCTTCTTTCATTTAAGATTTATTCTTCCACACTAGAAATGATTTAATGTTCAAAGCGTTTTAGACTCATGTGTTAATTTTAATCCATATGTCAAGGATATAATTCTGGCAATACTAGAGTGTCTTGCTGGAATGTACTCCTTCTGTGTAAACCATATTATAAACTTCATATGAGTCAGATGTTTAGTGTAAAAGATTATTGTAAAGGTCCATAAACATGGTAAGTGTAAAGTGAAACTTTATTGTTTGTTTATATGTTTATGATAAAATCTTATTAAGATTGTATTTAACATGATCCCAGAACAAAATTTGGTGTTTGCAGACCATGGATTGCAATAATGAAAGAAAAGCAGAACAAACTGTCACTGTGTTTCCAGCAGACAGACTGATCTGATGGAGGAATGTTTGGTTTGCAGGTGTTGGAGTGTCTTTATAGACAGAAATGGAGTTCCATGGATGGTATGGGAGCCTTGATTATCTCCCTTACACGGGAACTGGCGTACCAGACGTTCGAGGTGCTCCGGAAGATTGGCAAGTTTCATGACTTTTCAGCTGGTCTCGTTATTGGTGGAAAGGTGAGAGAGTTTGTGGCATATTCTGAAGCTACTGTCAATCAATTGTGAATCTTTCCAATGTCAGAGAAAGTGTAATTTATATTCTGGTGATGCATAGTTTGAATGTTGCCATGAGGATGCTGTGTAGGTGTTACCCCCCCATACGCTGTGTTTAAATTGTTACCCCGGTATGCTGTGTGTGTGTGTTGTGTGTGTGTGTGTGTGTGTGTGTGTGTGTGTGTGCGTGCGCAGTGTGTGTGTTGCCATTGTAAAGCTGTGTGTTTTTGCCACTGTTACGCTGTGTATTTGTTGCCACCGTTATGCTCTCTGTGTGTGTGTGCGTGGCGTGCGCGCGTGTGTGCATGTGTGTAGACGTCGCATAATGCGTGTGTGTGTTGCCCCGCATGCTGTGTGTGTTGCCCCGGTATGCTGTGTGTGTGCCCCGGTATGCTGTGTGTGTTGCCCTTGGTATGCTGTGTGTTGCCTCTGGTATGCTGTGTGTGTTGCCTCTGGTATGCTGTGTGTGTGCCCCTGGTATGCTTTGTGTGTTTGCCTAGTGCGCTTTGTGTGTTGCCCGCTGGTGTTGCGCTGTGTGTGTGTTGCCCCGATGCACTGTGTGTGTTGCCCCTATGCGCTGTGTGTGTTGCCCCGGTATACTGTGTGTGTTGCCCCGGTATGCTGTGTGTGTTGCCCCGATGCGGCTGTGTGTGTGTGCCCGGTATGCTGTGTGTGTGTGCCCGGTATGCTGTGTGTGTGTGTGTGTGTGTGTTGCCTTGTGTTGCCGTGTATGATGTGTGTGTGTTGCCTCCGGTGTGCTGTGTGTGTTGCCCCGGTATGCTGTGTGTTGCCTCGGTATGCTGTGTGTTGCCCGGTATGCTGTGTGTTGCCTCCGTATGCTGTGTGTGTTGCCCTGGTGTGTTGCCACTGGTATGTTGCCTCTGGTATGCTGTGTGTGTTGCCTACGGTATGCTGTGTATGTTGCCACCGTTGTGGTGTTTATGTGTTGCCACCTGTGTGTTGCCTCTGGTATGCTGTGTGTGTGTTGCCCCAGTATGCTGGTGTGTGTTGCCATGCTGTGTGTTTGCCACTGGTATTCTGTGTGTGTTGCCACTGGTATGCTGTGTGTGTTGCCACTGCTGTATGCTGTGTGTGTTGCCACTGGTATGCTGTTTGTGTTGCCACTGGTATGCTGTTGGTGTTGCCCCCAGTATGCTGTGTGTGTATTGCCACCGGTATGCTGTGTGTGTGTTGCCACCGGTATGCTGTGAGTGAGTTGCCATGAGTGTGTTGCCTTGCATAAAATCTTCATGGCTTGTCATTGGTACGGTGGGTGTGAGTTGTTATCAATATTCTGTGTTTTGCCACAAGCACATTGGATGCAAGCTGACATGAGTTCACTTCATGAGTACCTCTACATAGTTGCCATGATATCAAGGTGCCTGTGTTGCCATGAGTACGATGTAGCTGTATGATACTTTCAGCATCTAAAGGATGAGTCTGAGCGTATGAACCACACCAATATCGTGATCTGCACGCCGGGCCGACTCCTGCAGCACATGGACGAGACTGTCAACTTTACAGCAGATGCTCTACAGGTTCTAGGTAAGTGCTGCACCTTCTCTGTCAATGTTATACAATGTTCTATGTTTAGGCTTTCCCAAACGCTCTTACTTTCATGTTAAACAAGTCCGATATATCATGGGATATTCCAGCTATGGTGGTCTGTAAGCAACAAAGTCTGAACTATATAGTCCAGTGATTTATATCATGAGCATCGCTCTATGCAGTGAGGATTCCATCCAGCAAGTATAGTATAACCTGAAGCTTCACCTGTTGTATGTATTGAGGTGGGGATCAAGGCCTGGGAAAGCTTGTAGACCAGGTAAGTTTGAAGTATGTGAATTATACTTGGTGAGCCAACTGCTTGGATGTCTGCTGTGTGATGTCGGTATGACAGTTAATTCTTTTGTTGCACTGGGAAATTGTCCTAATTTGGCACATGGCGGGAATAACTAAGCTTGGACCATGTAGACTGGATGAAGACAAGGTGAAGCACTGTTTCCATGGTTTCAGAACATCCAGTGAAGGAGTAGATTGAAAACCTGATGTGTGTTGTGGGGGGTGATAACTGAGAAACACAGTACGTACTCTGGGGACATATTTGTACTAATAGTGATGTATGTGGTCATGGTTTTTGTTAGTTTCTTTGTTTGTACATCCTGAAATGAGATGTCAATTCATGTTTCAGTGCTCGATGAAGCAGATCGTATTCTTGACATGGGTTTTGCTCAGACTATGAATGCCATCATAGAGAATCTACCAGCAGAAAGACAGACGCTCCTCTTCTCTGCTACCCAGACCAAGTAGGTTATGAAATAGTTGTATGGTTTGGATCCTGAGTGGAAGTGTCATGATATGTGTACATTATGTATTGAGACATACACAATAGCTTATTCAGGATACATGTCTCATATGACCCAATGCATGTCTCATATGACCCTATACATGTCTCATATGACCCTATACATGTCTCATATGACTTGATGCATGTCTCATTTGACCCTATACATGTCTCATATGACTTGATGCACGTCTCATATGACTTGATGCATGTCTCATATGACCCGATGCATGTCTCATATGACCCTATACATGTCTCATATGACCCTATACATGTCTCATATGACTTGATGCATGTCTCATTTGACCCTATACATGTCTCATATGACTTGATGCACGTCTCATATGACTTGATGCATGTCTCATATGACCCTATACATGTCTCATATGTCCCTATACATGTCTCATGCCCCGATACATGTCTCATATGCCCCGATACATGCCTGATATGACTTGATGCATGTCTCATATGACCCTATACATGTCTCATATGACTTGATGCACGTCTCATATGACCCTATACATGTCTCTTATGGCTCAAAACATGTCTCATATGACCCTATACATGTCTCATATGGCTCAAAACATGTCTCATATGCCCCTATACATGTCTCATATGGCTCAAAACATGTCTCATATGCCCCGATACATGTCTCATATGACTTGATGCATGTCTCATATGACTTGATGCATGTCTCATATGTTTCATATGACTTGGTACATGTCTCATATGGCTCTAAACATGTCTCATATGACTTGATACATGTCTCATATGCCCCGATACATGTCTGATATGACTTGATGCATGTCTCATATGTTTCATATGACTTGGTACATGTCTCATATGGCTCGAAACATGTCTCATATGACTTGATACATGTCTCAGATGCCCCGATACATGTCTCATATGACTTGATGCATGTTTCATATGACTTGATACATGTCTCATATGGCTCAAAACATGTCTCATATGACTTGATACATGTCTCATATGACTTGATGCATGTCTCATATGACTCGATGCATGTCTCATATGCCCCGATACATGTCTCATATGACTTGGTACATGTCTCATATGACTTGGTACATGTCTCATATGGCTCGAAACATGTCTCATATGACTTGATACATGTCTCAGATGCCCCGATACATGTCTCATATGACTTCACACATGTCTCAGATGCCCCGATACATGTCTCATATGACTTCATACATGTCTCATATGGCTCGATACACATCTCATATGCCCCGATACACGTCTCATATGACTTGGTACATGTCTCATATGACTTGGTACATGTCTCATATGCCCCGATACATGTCTCATATGACTTGATGCATGTCTCATATGACATGATACACGTCTCATATGACTTGGTACATGTCTCACATGACTTCATACATGTCTCATATGGCTCGATACATGTCTCATATGCCCCAATACACGTCTCATATGACTTGATGCATGTCTCATATGACTTGGTACATGTCTCATATGACTTGATGCATGTCTCATATGACTTGATGCATGTCTCATATGTTTCATATGACTTGGTACATGTCTCATTTGACCCTATACATGTCTCATATGACTTGATGCACGTCTCATATGACTTGATGCATGTCTCATATGACCCTATACATGTCTCATATGACCCTATACATGTCTCATATGCCCCCATACATGTCTCATATGCCCCGATACATGCCTGATATGACTTGATGCATGTCTCATATGACCCTATACATGTCTCATATGACTTGATGCACGTCTCATATGACCCTATACATGTCTCATATGACCCTATACATGTCTCATATGGCTCGATACACGTCTCATATGCCCGATACATGTCTCATATGACTTGGTGCATGTCTCATATGACTTGATGCATGTCTCATATGCCCCGATACATGCCTGATATGACTTGATGCATGTCTTATATGTTTCATATGACTTGGTACATGTCTCATATGACTTGATGCATGTCTGATATGACTTGATGCATGTCTCATATGTTTCATATGACTTGGTACATGTCTCATTTGACCCTATACATGTCTCATATGACTTGATGTACGTCTCATATGACTTGATGCATGTCTCATATGACCCTATACATGTCTCATATGTCCCTATACATGTCTCATGCCCCGATACATGTCTCATATGCCCTGATACATGCCTGATATGACTTGATGCATGTCTCATATGACCCTATACATGTCTCATATGACTTGATGCACGTCTCATATGACCCTATACATGTCTGATATGACCCTATACATGTCTCATATGGCTCAAAACATGTCTCATATGACCCTATACATGTCTCATATGGCTCAAAACATGTCTCATATGCCCCGATACATGTCTCATATGACTTGATGCATGTCTCATATGACTTGATGCATGTCTCATATGTTTCATATGACTTGGTACATGTCTCATATGGCTCTAAACATGTCTCATATGACTTGATACATGTCTCATATGCCCCGATACATGTCTGATATGACTTGATGCATGCCTCATATGTTTCATATGACTTGATGCATGTCTCATATGTTTCATATGACTTGGTACATGTCTCATATGGCTCGAAACATGTCTCATATGACTTGCTGCATGTTTCATATGACTTGATACATGTCTCATATGGCTCAAAACATGTCTCATATGACTTGATACATGTCTCATATGACTTGATGCATGTCTCATATGGCTCGAAACATGTCTCATATGTGTCGAAACATGTCTCATATGACTCGAAACATGTCTCATATGCCCCGATACATGTCTCATATGACTCGAAACATGTCTCATATGACTTGGTACATGTCTCATATGGCTCATGTCTGATATGATGTCTCATATGACTTGATACATGTCTCATATGCCTCGATACATGTCTCATATGACTTGGTACATGTCTCATATGACTTGATACATGTCTCATATGACTTGGTACATGTCTCATATGACTTGGTACATGTCTCATATGGCTCGAAACATGTCTCATATGACTCGATACACATCTCATATGCCCCGATACACGTCTCATATGACTTGGTACATGTCTCATATGACTTGGTACATGTCTCATATGCCCCGATACATGTCTCATATGACTTGATGCATGTCTCATATGACTTGATACACGTCTCATATGACTTGGTACATGTCTCACATGACTTCATACATGTCTCATATGGCTCGATACATGTCTCATATGCCCCAATATACGTCTCATATGACTTGATGCATGTCTCATATGACTTGGTACATGTCTCATATGACTTGATGCATGTCTCATATGACTTGATGCATGTCTCATATGTTTCATATGACTTGGTACATGTCTCATTTGACCCTATACATGTCTCATATGACTTGATGCACGTCTCATATGACTTGATGCATGTCTCATATGACCCTATACATGTCTCATATGACCCTATACATGTCTCATATGCCCCCATACATGTCTCATATGCCCTGATACATGCCTGATATGACTTGATGCATGTCTCTTATGACCCTATACATGTCTCACATGACTTGATGCACGTCTCATATGACCCTATACATGTCTCATATGACCCTATACATGTCTCATATGGCTCGATACACGTCTCATATGCCCGATACATGTCTCATATGACTTGGTGCATGTCTCATATGACTTGATGCATGTCTCATATGCCCCGATACATGCCTGATATGACTTGATGCATGTCTCATATGTTTCATATGACTTGGTACATGTCTCATATGACTTGATGCATGTCTGATATGACTTGATGCATGTCTCATATGTTTCATATGACTTGGTACATGTCTCATTTGACCCTATACATGTCTCATATGACTTGATGTACGTCTCATATGACTTGATGCATGTCTCATATGACCCTATACATGTCTCTCGTATGTCCCTATACATGTCTCATGCCCCGATACATGTCTCATATGCCCCTGATACATGCCTGATATGACTTGATGCATGTCTCATATGACCCTATACATGTCTCATATGACTTGATGCACGCTCATATGACCCTATACATGTCTCATATGACCCTATACATGTCTCATATGGCTCAAAACATGTCTCATATGACCCTATACATGTCTCATATGGCTCAAAACATGTCTCATATGCCCGATACATGTCTCATATGACTTGATGCATGTCTCATATGACTTGATGCATGTCTCATATGTTTCATATGACTTGGTACATGTCTCATATGGCTCTAAACATGTGCTATGACCCGATACATGTCTCATATGACTTGATGCATGTCTCATATGACGATTATGATGCATGATGCATGTCTCATATGACTTGATGCATGTCTCATATGTTTCATATGACTTGGTACATGTCTCATATGGCTCTCATAAACATGTCTCATATGACTTGCTGCATGTTTCATATGACTTGATACATGTCTCATATGGCTCAAAACATGTCTCATATGACTTGATACATGTCTCATATGACCCACATACATGTCTCATATGACTTGATGCATGTCTCATATGGCTCGAAACATGTCTCATATGTGTCGAAACATGTCTCATATGACTCGAAACATGTCTCATATGCCCCGATACATGTCTCATATGACTCGAAACATGTCTCATATGACTTGGTACATGTCTCATATGGCTCGAAACATGTCTCATATGACTTGATACATGTCTCAGATGCCCCGATACATGTCTCATATGACTTGGTACATGTCTCATATGACTTGGTACATGTCTCATATGACTTGGTACATGTCTCATATGACTTGGTACATGTCTCATATGGCTCGAAACATGTCTCATATGACTCGATACACATCTCATATGCCCCGATACACGTCTCATATGACTTGGTACATGTCTCATATGACTTGGTACATGTCTCATATGCCCCGATACATGTCTCATATGACTTGATGCATG